AATAAGAAAATGGAGCTTCTCGTTAAACATAGTTATATTTAGAAGGAGATATGCAATTATTTCATTAGATGGAACAGTATCATTGTTAGATTTAGAAAGGTCTAATGCAGTTATTTCAATAGATGGAACGGTATAATGATAGACATTATCATAAGTTTCCCTCTGTTATAACAACACCTTTGTCTTATTACTATTTAGGTTTAGTTTCCGTAAAGCTCAGAATTTTTCACGGGTTCTTGTTTGTGATTTTATGCTGTTCGTGGAAACCGGATAGTGCATTAAATTCATGATATCCAAAACAAATTTCTCAAACCTATCATTTCACACTTATTTCGGCTTGCAAGTTTGTGGTCTCTCTGACTTGCATATTTGTACTGTTTGTATTCTAGGGTTCGAAGAGTCATAGACAATTCTTCTCCATAGTGCATGTGAATAAACTTCACGCAATAAACAGGTCATTGGGTGTTGCTCCAATTGCCGGTTGAACTGAGGGAGACAATTAAAGTTGGCCTATTTGCGGTTGCCAAAGTTGTAGGCAAATGGAATGTAATAAAGATGAAGCTGTTAAGGCCAAAGAAATTGCTGAGCGGAAATTAACTGAGAAGGACATTGCTGGAGCTCAAAAATTTGCTTTGAAGGCTCGAAATTTGTTTCCAGGCCTTGACGGTCTTTCTCAGTTCCTGGAGGTTGTCAATGTTTATGTTGCTTATGAGAAGAAGATTAACGGTGAAGTGGATTTCTACAGTATCCTTTCCGTAGATCCCTCAGCTGATGATGAAACAATAAGAAAACATTACAGACGGCTAGCTCTAGCTCTTCACCCTGATAAAAATCAATCTGTTGGGGCAGATGGGGCGTTTAAGATTTTATCTGAAGCGTGGAGTTTGTTGTCTGATAGAACCAAAAAAATGGTGTATGATTATAAGCGAGGTATGAGGAATGTTTCCATGAGGAATTCATCCATGCAAGGCAATCAGCAGGGATTTCATAATTTCCCCATGAACCCAGCAAGTGCAAGAAACTCAACTAATGCTAATGTCCAGCCCATCCCGGTGGCTCCACAGCCATCAAAACTTGAGACATTCTGGACATCTTGCAATCGATGCCAGATACAGTATGAATATTTAAAGCTTTACCTAAACAAAAGTCTTATGTGCCCAAACTGTCACCGGCCTTTTTTGGCAGGGGAGGTTATTGCTCCCGTGAACAATCAAGCTTCCTCTTTTCCCTGGTCTTCCAGTCAGCAGCAGCAGCGTACAAGCAATCGTGCTGCTAATGGATCTTCTGCTTCAGGTGTTAAGCTCCCTACAGCCTTAAATCCAGGACAGACTGGATGTTCTGGCTTTGGTGCAACAGTTAGAGCAGAAATTCAGCAGGATCAAGTTTTTAAGACAAGAGGTGCAAATGGTGTGCAGTCCAATGCCACTACAGTTATGCAAGCTGCAAAGCGCAGTCAGCCAGCTGGTGAGAACTTGAAGAGAGCTCATGCGGAAGCAGCTTCCGTGAAAACTGATGCAGGTTTTGTTCCTGATTCGGTTTCCAGTTTTTCAAAAGTTGATAGGGTAATAAAAAAGAGACGCACAGCTGAGTTGAAGTCAAATTGTCAAAGAAAAGGAATGGTGAATGAATTGGCTGGAAAAGTTGGATCTAGCAGCCAAGGAAACATATATGGAAATGAGAATGGGGTTTCGAGAACAGAGAGGGTCGCCGTTGCGGGAAGTAACAAGCCTAGGAATTCAAGGGAGTTGTCCAATTCAGAAATTCGCAATATGCTGGTGAAAAAGGCAAGGATGGAGATCAGCAAGAAGCTTAAAGAATGGAGCACAGCTACTGCTTCTAAAATTTCATATAAAGAAGAAAAAGAAGTGGAAAAGAAGATGCATGCTCCTAAAGTGATCACAAATGATATGAGAAGGGATAAAACCGCTAATGATGCAGTGGTGGATTCCAAAATAGTGTGCGAGCAGAAAAAGTCTTCCGTCTTTATTACAACTGTTGATTTAGAACCAGAAGTTACGTCGATGACTGTTCCTGACCCTGACTTCCATAATTTTGATAAGGATAGAACAGAAAAATCTTTCGATGATATTCAAGTTTGGGCTGCTTATGACGATGATGATGGCATGCCGCGCTATTATGCTCTGATTCACAATGTGATATCTAAAATGCCATTTAAAGTGCAATTCAGCTGGTTGAACTCCAAAAACAACTCTGAATTCGGCCCAATTAATTGGGTTGGTTCTGGCTTCCTCAAGACCAGTGGAGATTTTAGGATAGGCAAGCATGAAATCAGTAAGACACTCAATTCGTTCTCCCACAAGGTCAAGTGGGTGAAAGGAGCCAGAGGTGTTATCCAAATTTATCCGAGAAAGGGGGATGTTTGGGCTGTGTACAGGCATTGGTCTCCTAAATGGAATGAGCTAACTCCGGATGATGTGATACACAACTATGATATGGTGGAAGTGCTTGGAGACTACACTGAGAAGGAAGGTGTCACAGTTGCTCCATTAGTCAAAGTAGCTGGCTTCAAGTCGGTATTCCGTCAGCATTTGGACCCCAAGTATATTCGGCATATTCCGAAGGAAGAGATGTTTCGCTTCTCTCATCAAGTCCCTTCATACTTGCTCACAGGCCAAGAAGCTCCAAATGTTCCCAGCGGTTGCTGGGAGTTGGATCCTGCAGCGCTGCCTTTAGAACTTCTTAGAGTCATGACAGATGCTGAAATAGAGGCAGAGAAAAAAGCTGCAGATCCTTCAAACTTAGAAAGGACATGTGGTGAAAGCAAAGAGAAGGAGAAATCCTATGTGGTTGGCAACAGCAGCGTGATAAAGGGGGAAGAGATGACCAGAGATTCCAAGTGTGATGTCAAACAACCCATATTGACATATTCAAGAAAGAAGAAGGTTAAGAAGGCGGAAGCAAGTAACATTGAAGCCAAGAGAGAAACAAGCTTGGCTGCTGCTGAGGACTAGCCTATGATCAAGTAATTTTGGTGCTTTCGGTATTTTGATTGCCAATGATAGAGTAGTGTAGATGAAGAAGACAATGAATCCAGCACCCAAGTGAATATTTGGGTTTGATTTTATGTGCTTCTATAGGTTTACCATTTAAGAGAGCTATAGTGTAAACAAGAAAACTTGAATCATACCTGTATATTTCAAGTAACCTTTGGACAATGAATTTTATATAAGTTTATAATTGATTTCCTTTTCAGTTTCTTTTAGTAGTTTTGATAGATGGTGCTGTCCTTGTCAAGGTGCACTACTGATATTACAACTCATTTTCAGCATATGAAGTGTTCAAATCATTTCTAGTTTACTTGCTTGTACATAGTCTAAATGATTTCTCTTCTGAAACGGACTAGAGCGGCGCATATATAGGATGTGGTGCTGTTTACTTTTTAGTTCTAGACTTGCGCATGCAAAGCCAATTTGGTTTTATGTTGAAAGATTTCTTTGTTTATTACCTTAGATTTTCTTAATTAGTTGCTGGTTCTTACATTCCTGCATTTGCATGTAGCACAATTGCACCAACATTCAGCCTTCAGGACTTGATTAATATTAAATCAAAGTGGCACTTCAACTCCATAAAAATAATCAGTAATAATATGGGAGTCGTCTTCACCAACGACTTGCTTATTTAGTTGGTCCAAATTATTCTCTGTTTTAAAATCTTCTAGGACATTTAACACAAATATTGTAAAAGCAATTGATGAATCATTTAATTCAACAAGGAATCCAATTACTATCATATTTTAATGACTCCTCTTTTTACATTAAAACTGTGTGTACATATATATTGCGCAACAAACGTTGAAGCTATCAATTTATTATCAGAACACTACACTACATTTACTTATTGGAACTGTTGTCTGTTGGCAGAAGAGTGATGACAACAGCGAAATTAATATTTTACCACATAAAAGTAAAAATAAATAAATGACAACAACAGGGACAAAATTAATGAGGAACATGAAAGATAGAAATTTAATGCCTTTCACTTTCTTCTTATTAATTGCCATCTAACTATGTTAGTATTAGTTAATCAACTGAAGAAGAGGTGAAGGTGTTTCACTGTTCTTTAACTTTTTAACGGTTAGGACACATTAATTGGTATTTAACCAGCTGATTTCTTACAAAGGGAAGTTGGCTAATTAGTCTAATAATTGTATAACTTAGCGAAGAAAAGAAGGAACGTACGAAAAAGAAATTGACGGTATTTTACTCCTTTTTAAGTTGTCTATATTAAGTGAGCCGGATAATTTAATAAGGAATTGGCTAATGAAAGACCTAATTAATTGCTTGCGAACAAAGAAACTTGCCTAGTCTAACACAATTCCATGCATAGAGAACTTGATAGAACTATATATGTTGGGTAAAAGTTAAAGGTTATTTACGTCCCATTGAGTTATATTATTTAACTAGTTTTTGGGCACGCGTGTAACCCATATCATGCAAAATAATTTTTTTAAACAACATAAATAAAAATTAAAAGTTGTTTTAGAGATACAAGTAAAAATTAAACATATTGCACGTTCTTGAAAATGAAAACGGTTTATTCTATACTCTCTCCGGTCCACAATAAGTGATTTTTTGGTCTTTTATTGTGGTCCAAAAAAAGTAATTTTTTAAGATTTCAAGAATAAATTAATTAATTTTTTTCTACATTGCCCTTGGAGTAAATAATGTTGGAGTATGTGTTAGAAGTGTTTATGTGAAGAGATAGTAAAGGTTAATATGGTCAATTTCATTGCTAATTAATGTTAAAAGGTGAATTTCTTAATGTGTGAAAATATTCAAAAAATTATTTATTGTGAACCTGATGGAATACTTTTTTTACCTTGCCAACTCGTCGGGATTTGAACCAAGAGCTACAATTTTTCTATTATATAGAAAAGGCTGGATGGTCGACCAAGGGCATAAATGACATTTTGCTCTGCCATTATTTATTTTAGGTGTAAAACTGCTTTATTTCCTTCGCAATATATCTGACACAAACTCTAGAACTTTCCCCAGCTTTCTGAAGCAAAAACAACAACAAAAAGAGAATTAGTGAAGGTCTTATTTTGGTTAATAGCTTCTAGGTCCCGTGGAATTTATCGAATTTTAGATTGCTTTACGAATTTTTGTTCTCTGGTGATACGTTTATTGCTCAACTTCAGAGTTCTTCTTCGCTTCTTATAAGTGTCATCTCTCTGTTTTGGAGTGTTTCTCAACTCTCTTTGGCATTTTTTTCTATTCTTCAGGCCGCATAGTTGATTTAGTGGTAAATATTTTTAGGATTCTCACCTTAATGTATTCTTAGATTAGAAATCAAAGTCTGTAGTCTCTGGACATTTTTCATATATTTTCATTTAACCCTATAAAAATCCACTCTTTATTGGACGCATGTGACATGCGTAAATCTTATCCGAAATGGAATGAAAGGGGTTTCGTTGATACTTGGGCTCTGATGACGAGCAGTTAATAGATGTGGTATAGTTGAGCATCATAATTTCTATAATCTATGCAAAGATATGAATATTTGTTGGCATGTGTTCTTCTATCTTTTAGTATTATATGAATGTTTTTAACTAGTCTTTGTATTTACAGGACTTACATTTCCCATGCACTTGGTGTATCATTATGCTACCATCAAAGCAAGTGATATCCTGCATCTTAGAGGTAGGTATCTTTTTATTAGTTTGGAAAATCTAGATGATTAATCTTGTGGCTTACTAGAACGATCAATAGTTGTACTGGCAATCCACGTTACATCAATGCTGCTTTCCTTGCTTTTGTTCTAATTTATTTATCTAGGACTACCTCTATTGCTTGTTTGCTTTCTCTCTTTCTTTCTTTTTTTCTTGTTCTCTTTTTTTTTTTTTTTTTTTTTNTATTTATCTAGGACTACCTCTATTGCTTGTTTGCTTTCTTTCTTTCTTTCTTTCTTTTTTTCTTGTTCTCTTTTTTTGTGTACATTGGACCCATATTATAGGTTGCTAAATATGTTAAGTTTGCTAATGAAACCTTTGATGACTTCTTCTAATATCTTATGGTGCATTGTTGTCTAGAGGTGTGACATATACCTTGCTACAAGTCTAACCTCATTGGGTTATTAAACATCATATAATGACTTTTAGTTATTTCCTAAGACACGCATGTGACAAATTCTTGAACTAACTCTCTATATTGAATATGAACATGCATGTTGATATGGGAATTTGTTCATTAATACTGTAGTGGCATGGTTGAAAACACTGACCATATGGAGATTTTAATCGGACAATATTTAACAAACGTTTACATTTAGCCAACTGTTAGTTTTGTCCACTGCAATGTTTAATTGGCATATCATCCTGAAATGAAATGGACTAAGCTCATGAATCATGAGAAAGAAGAAAAGTGCTTACTGCTAGCTCTAGGTTGAATCCTTTTTATTAATGTCCGTTATCTTTGAGACATGAGAAGTTGTGATCTTTATAAATGAGTTGCGAGTGTATGTTGAATTCCATAAAGTTCTCTTTAGCTTTAATATTTTTTTTGTCTCCTTTATCTTTTAACCGATTAAAGGCTTTAGTCATTTTAAATAAGTAATTAGCTGAAATTTTTTTGTTGCAGGCATCAAGGACGCCGCTATATTTATTCCTGTAGAACCATGCCGGGATAAGAGTTGCTAAGGTAAATTTTGAAGCTTAGCAGAATAAAAATAGAAATCTTTGTTTATTTTTTTATGTTTCAAGAATAAATACGTACTATCTCCTCTTACCCTTTCTATTATGTTAGGAAATACTTTATGATCCTAAATGGATAGCTGCACATGCTATTTGTGTTTAACTATTTTTTTGGTCTATTTTAACTATCAATCCTCAAACAATGCATAAAGAGAGATTGTGTATGCGTAAAAATACAAGCACTGTGTAAGGTGTTTGTGCAATATTAAGATGCCAACTCAGTAAAATGATTCGATCGTATTTGTTGTTTTTGTACTAATATAATTGTGTTATTTTAGACATCATGTCGCCATTCTATAAGCAAGATATCATGCAGTATCTTTGTTTCAGGTCTATAACCATATTTGGAGGGTAATTTATTTCTTTTACCACATGTGAAAGTAAATATTGCTTTAGCTCATGCTGATGCAATGTATAGTACTTCACTGTCCCGGCCCTACAACAATGTTTTTCATAGGTTTATTTGTAGATAGATATATTATTAAATTTTAACTGTAACAGAAAAGTTAGCATTCTTTCTGATTTCTAAATTGTTTATTATTGGCAGATTTTAACTTTCTCCCAATGCCTACAAAACCCACGCCATTTCAAAATGAAATAACTAAATTTTGGATACGATGCTAGAAATTAAGCACAGAAGCTAAGATATTCTATAATGTATTTTTTATGTTTGTTTGTACACGGCAACACTTTAATATTTAGATACAAGGACCAAATTTGCATATGAAGAAAAGAGTAGTACACCAGGAATCTTTGTATTTGAGTGTGAAGCAACTTTTGTCATAAAACTTGAGGTTGCCAAACCATAATTTGATAGGAATTCAGTTTATATTTCCCAATTTATAATGTTAAGACGTCTTTTGGAATTCTTAATACTTGAAAGAAAAATACGTTATGCTTGATTTCAAGATTTTTTGTCCTTTCTAATCTGAGGTAAAATGTGGATAGCAACAATATAGGGAAAGCTCTCTTAATATTATTTGTGTGGCACTTTGCTTGGTTGACTTACAAGTTTGTCTAAGGAGATTTTTCCTTGGCTCTTATTTTAAGCTTGTCTATTATTTTAAGCTCTTAGCTACGGGGCATATTTCCTTGGTTGTACAATATTTTTCAAGTGTCTTTAAATAAGTTTCATCGATAATTTTCTATCCCCGAGGGTGTCGAAGAACAGAAACAGTCACAGTTATCTTCCTTAAAACTCTTTCTATCTTTTTTTTTCCCTCTTTGTATCTTTTGCTCTTCAAGGAAAAGCATTAAAAATACACACTACTAATTTCTCAGTATGGCATTATCAGAAATATCCGTTTAGGGGATGATTACCCATTAAAAAATAGAAGGAAGTGCCTTTTCCTTATTTTTTTCTTGAAGGAGCTTATTGTTATCTACTCTATTTTTCTATCATTCCTTGTTATTTTGGTGCCTTCAGAGAAATGCTTATATTTCCGGATCATTTATGCTTTGTGTGGTTTTCTTCTAGTTCAACTAGAGATTCGCTTCATACTTCATGAACTATGTTGCTTGTGTTGTTGTTTAATTTATAAATGAACTTGTGACTTCTTAAACAAAAATCAGTTGCCTAAATTGGTAAACATTGTAAGTACTAGAAACTTTTGTTCAATGTGGACTTAATAGATGTAGGAAAAATTGGCAAAAGACTATATTTCTCAAATCTTAGATCCTTCCTTTCAATCAAACGAAGGGAATATCCTCTTTTAACTACTATTTTCAAGTTTATGCAACCTGCATTTGCATCTCTTCCTTCTTGAAGTGCAGGGTTGCAAGTGGTTACATGTTTTTGGCATTCATTCTTAATTTTGATAAGTGCTTCTATATATTTGGCATAACCTATAGGTTTCTGCATCTAATGTAATGCTGCCAAAGCTTCTTTCTTAAAACCGTGACAAAATTCTAGAATTGTCCATCACTTTTCTCTCCTTTTTACTCACAATTACCAGCATAACTGTGAAGCACTTCTTTGCTTTTCCTTCTTCTCATCTAGGTTAGTAAACTTTTCCCTAATCTTCTTCTCTTTCTTTTCAAAAATTTCGATTTGATATTGTCATCGTTGTTGTCGTAGTAACAAAGGGTAAACTGTTTAATTTGTGTCCTTTTGTATAGCTTTTTGGCTAAGAACGTTTGGATTTTTCAAGTTAAGGTTTACTAATATGAGAATCTGAACATTAAAGAATTAGACCCATTTTAGGATAAACTTATTTTGATATTCTTATTGTCTGGTTCCGCAATCTATATGATAATGGAGAAAATTCTTACTTTTTTCTTTTCTTTTTGGACTTAGAGGACAATTCCAATGAGAGCAGATGATGTTGACTATTTTTTACTTAGATCAAACCAGATATGGTAACTCAAAAAATTGGTTATATAATCAAATGGCCTACTAATAGATGTGAGTTTGAGAAGTTTGAAAGTTGTAAAAAAAATTACAGAAGTTATTCCTTAAAAAGAAGTCACATGAACTTTTTCAGAATAGTAGATTTTTAAGTTGAGGAAAATCAAACTTTTTAAGATGACTTTCCATTTTCTTAGTCAACCATTTGTCTCTCATAAATCTCTTTTATAGTAATGAAAATTTATTTGTACCCCAATATTTATAAATTCAAGACATGCATATATTTTTTATACAAATATTTATCATTTATCATTGTAAATTAAAAATATTTATGTTTTCTTACTTTAATCGATAATGTAAATTTATTGATTTGATTAGAGTATCATACACAAGTAATCTTTGAGTGTATATATTTAAAATTTAAGATCTGATTTTCTTCTATTTTTTCCAAATCGCATAAGATTTTCACAAATCATGTCTGATTTATATGGGCGATCGATTTGAAAGAGATTGTTTCTGCCAAACTACCTTCCCAATGTTTGGCAGAAAGAGTTTGTATTCAAAGAGGTTGTACTTGAAAGAGTTTGAACTTTATTTGTGTTCTGAATTTGGTTAATTCAGGATTTGGGTTTGAACTTTATTTGTGTTCTGAATTTGATTAATTCAAGATTTGAGTTTGAACTTTCTTTGGCTTTCCAATGTGGCAGAAGACAATTCTTTGGCTTTCTAATATTTTTTAGCTTTATCCACTTTCTTTTGTTATTTTTAGTGTTGAAAGGTTATCTGGAATATTTATTTGTGAGATTGAAAGTAGATAAGGATGAACAAACAGATCATTGTAGTAATTTATTTGCTTTAGAAGACTTTGAAAAATCACCCTTCAAAATTTTTAATGGACAATCTGATTGCTACAACTTATCATTTATATCGATGAAAAAGGAAAACTTCGACAAATAATCAGCAAGTTCATAAGTTTAAGTAGTTTTAATGTTTGTAGCATTACATGAGGAGCAGCAAAAAATAATTTAAAATTTAAAAAAGAAGCGGGTTAAGTATTTTAGATGGTGTTAGGGTATCCGATATATATAATAATGGCTACTTGCTGTTGAAATGTCATTTGAATAAGTTTGAAAAGATCAAGTGGGTGTGAATATTAGACCTAGATTATACTGGATTTATTTCATTTTCAACCCTTTCTTCAAGACATTTCTTTCACCATTATTATTATATACTCTATTTCTAAATCAGAATATTATCTTCATTCTGTGTTAGAAGGGAGATAAATCAAAACACTTTATAGAATATAAATTTGTTGGGTATTAATAAACACCTCAAGTACAATAAATTAAGAGCTTTTGTTCTATTATGTTGTTATTTAACTTTCTTAAAATTTATTTCTTGATGTTCTTCTGTTGTACTTGTGCAAGTTGATAAAAAGTGAAGTTGGCGAGGTTTTTTAGATCTTTCAAATTGTACGATAAAATACATGCACATTTGGATTTCATCCATTATATAGGAATTGGTACAAACAATAAGGATGTTAAGATAAACAATATAATACATGTTTCCTTGGTGTAATTTTGGATATGATTTAGCTTTTTTGGGTTGTGGTTGCCTATTATTGTCACCTTTCTGTTTTGATTTATTTTATTTTTCATACAGGTTTTGCTTTCCATATATATTGTGATAACTGTCTGTTTGTGTATATTAGTAGCCAATCATTGTGTGGTGAGTACTGCTCTTCTACTGTATTTTTAATTATTCCCTCTTCGCTTCTTAGCCGTTTTTCATTTATTTATTTATATTATTTTTTTATGAAGAAAAGATTTACTAATTTTATTTGTAATATAAAGTTATAGGGTTTAAATTAGTGCCAGATTATTATTGACACTAAGGCATCACAGTAATGTAGTGAGAATTTATAACTCATAGAGATACCATATAATACATGTGATGAAATAGTACCCATTATGAATTTTTTTCTACTGCACTAAATGTCAGTATAACCAAGGACTCTACAATAGATCTCACACTTCTTTATTATGCTCTCCAGAAATATATAGAGTAATTTATTATTGAGGATAATTTTATTGTCTTGAACTGCTGTAGAAGAACATTCGTTGTTATTTTGGACCACTGTTGAACATATTATGTTGTTACTTCTTAATGTTATTGTAGACGCCTTTGTTGCTGTTTTGCCATATAGTTGAAGCCACTTTTGCTGCTATTTTTGGATGCGATTAAAGTCATTTTGATGCTATTTTTGCTTGGGTTGAAGTCATTTTGCTGCTACTTAAAAATATGGTTAAAGCCATTTTTGCTGCTATTTTCTACATGTGGTTAAAGCCTATTTTTGGTTGGTGCAATATTAGGTTAGCTTACCTATTTACTATTCGTCTATGATACTCCCGCATCTCCCATATTACTCTACTAACACATTCTTCATTGTCTATTATTGCATCAATGCCCCTTGCAATAGATCTTTTTAAAAAAAAAATAATTTGCAAAAAAAAAATGCATCTAAAAGCAGAGAATTAGTTCTTTGATAACATAAGGTCTACTTATATTTATCTGGTAGAGACACAGTTCTAAGCTGGAAAAAAATGTCTCAAAAAGAATCCATTGCAGTGATATTGTCCTAAAACTTAGTACATTCTGTTATATGGGTACTAAAACTTGATCTCTTTTCCATGATTCTGGAGATGTTCAATACTTTTGTCGGACTGCAAAGAACAACAATTACAACATGGAGAAGGAATCACCTTTTGTGAATATAAGTATAACTCTCATGGATGTACAAATTGTGCTACTTTCGAAGTAGAATGCATCTTCTTTTGTCAATATGTAAATAGATACGCGTCTATATATATATATGTGTGTGTGTGTGTGTGTGTGTGTGTGTGTGTGTGTTGTATTCTCGTGGATATTAGCTTTCTCTGCTTTTAAGATAATTCTCAAATATTAGCCCTATTACATATCTCATTTTGGATTATGTTCGGGTCTGAATGTGCGCAAGTTCTTATACTAGAAGAGTTTTTAGCCATAGTTTGTATGTTATGATCCTATGGTCCAACCTTGTCGGTCTCATTATATGGAAATGTCTTAAGCTGTATTTTTTAATATTTTTTGATAATCTCATGATGATCTGGGTAAGGTATTTCTTTGAAAGCCATCGGAATTATTTGGTGGTCTCATACACTATGGGATGGTGAGAAGAGATATATTTTGCATCCCAGAGGGGCGCCCGAAGAGCACTTCCCTGGCGGAGAGATTAAAAGAACGGTCTCAAGAATGAACTTTATCAACTATATCGCTGCGGTGTTGCTCTATGGTGTATTATTTGACTTCTATGGTGTTTCAAGCTGTATTACTTGACTTCTATGGTGTTGCTCTCATTGGGGTGTCCTTAGATAGAGTAGATCATGGCTTGAAAATCATGTTATGACCTATCAAAGCAGTCTATTTTTTGTATTCAAAGAAAAGAGTGAAAATTAGAGGATATCTTCTCTGCAATTTCATATCAAAGCAAAATTAATCACAAATAATGATTCTAAGCTTTACATTATTGGGCCGTGCTATGCACGGCAATCATCATCTAGTCATTTCCCTACAAAGTAAGAGTGTCAGTATTCCTTATTTTGTTTTTCTACTCTACTTTGAAGAAGTTTTGTATTTAGCTATATTTCTTAAGACTTTCCTCTGTTCTACTTTGCAAAAGTTTCTTTGTTTTAGCAAGTTATTATATTACAAAATTCAGGCATTAAACTGATGAACAAAATTCAAACCAAAAAACCCTTTTGAATAATCACTTATCTGTAATTTTATCAGCTCCTTTTCCTCTTAATTCATCAGCTGAATCAGCATTTTTATAATGTCCCAACATTATTTTATTTCCTGGAAGCGGTACTCTTGAGAAGCAATTAAAGAATTTTCTTAGAGAAAGACTCACATGTGCAAGGAATCACTCCTGTGACGTGCTCATTTGCGACATTTTTACTCTTCTTGTTTCTTTTTAAAAAAAATGGTCAAGGATAAACAGAGAAGAAATGACCTAAAACAGCTCATGCAAATGTGAGGAATGAAAATATGGATATTCATTTATTCATCTCTTCGTTGATAGTATTGGTAAGATAATTACTGCCAAGATCATTAAAATTAATTTTTATAGACAAATAATATCCTTGAAGCTCTAATGACACCACAATGAATAAATAAAAATAGCCTGTCATATTGGCGAACTTTTCTTCAATATAGAACATGAAATGAACAAATCTAATTGCTCAACAGCTAATCTTAACAAATCTAATTCAACAATCTATAACATGAAATGAACGTGTAACTTTACAAAAGTAGATATACATCTAACACCCCAAATTTGAAGCTGAATATCCACAAAAACTGCAATCTCTTATCCAAACAAGAAAACAAAAGAAGCAAAAAACTGTTAAGAGAAGTGAAACTATTAAACTGCAGTTAGTTTAGGTGGTCAAGAGTAGAATTAGCTAATCTTATTAGTTACACAGTTAGAAAGGTTGTTAGGAGATTAGTAACTAATTTGTAGTATAAATACACTGTAGATACTAAAATGTAAAGTTCAGTTCATTTTCTTCAACTTCAATAAAACAGTAACTCTGTTTCTCACAACTCTCTCTTAGCTTCTTCTCCAAGTCGAGCTTTCAGCTAAGAGCTTCCATAGCCATGGAAGCTAACATGGTATTAGAGCTCGTGATCTCAATCTGATTCCTTGCTCAATTGTGTGTATGTGTGTTACTGCAATTCAGTCGAGCTACACTGAATTGTATGAAAGTAGCAACACCTCTGAGCTAGGATTTGCGATTTAGTCAATTGGAAAGCTTCATCAATGGCGATTGGAGATGAAAAAAATGAGAGTACATCGAGACATGTGAATGCACCAGCAGCACTTACTGTCTTCCCCATAATTGATCACAATCATCCTCTCTTCCTTCAACTAACTGATACACCAGGTAACTCACTCATTTTTCTTCAGCTAACTGGCTCAGATAACTATGCTTTGTGGAGTCGATCTATGAGAATAGATCTATTAGGTAAAAGCAAACTAGGGTTTGTAGATGGTCGATACCCAAAATCTAAGTTTGAACTGAATTTCACGAGCAATGGGAGAAGGTAAATGCTATAGTACTATCTTGGATTATAAATGTTGTGCGCCCAGGGTTATTGAGTAGTGTTGTGTATGCTTCTAATGCTAATAAGGTGTGGGAAGACCTGAAGGAGAGGTTCGATAAGGTAAATGGATCTAGGGTTCTATACCTGCATAGAGAGATTCATACTCTAACACAAGGAACAATGAATGTGGCTGATTACTTCTCGAAACTAAGGGACCTATGGGATGAGTTTGATGCCCTCATGCCCTGACCTGGTTGTCCCTGCCCAGAATCAAAGAATTATGCTGAGCATTTTGAGTATCACAGATTACTCCAGTTTCTTATGGGATTGAATGATACTTATTCTCAAGCTCGAAGTCAAATCATGATGATGTCACCAGTGCCTAGTATTAACAAGGCCTACTCTCTACTTATGGATATGGAAAGCCAAAGGAATCTGGTCAATTTCTCTCAAATGATGCAAGTAGCAGAAGTTGCTAATAGTACTGCTCTGTATAGCAACAAAAATTCAACTACTGGTAATGGACAATTTAGAGCTCAGAAGAAGACAGTGGTCTGTGAGTTTTGTAATTACAAAGGACACAGCAAGGAAAATTGTTTCAAGCTAATAGGATACCCTCAAGACTTCAAGTCTAACTTTAAGACAAAGAAGAAATGGGGCAACTCTGGTGCATATGCCAATCATGTCAACACTACTCCTAACTACAACCCTGCTATGCAAAACACTCAGATGCAGTTTGGAGGTTTACAGGGCAGAGGAGTGATAAGTGGGGATTTTGACTACTTATAGCGCATTTTAGCTTTTGTTTTAGTCCAAAAGCGTTTAATTATGTTCCTGAAAACTAATAAAATATTCTTAATTGCAGGAATATTAGAAGATGAACTCCCGAGATGAAATCCAACTCAAGAAGGAGTAATCTGAACTCAAAGACATAAAAGGCACAGAAACTCAGAAGTGCGGACTGCAAAATACCATCTGCGGCCTCAGGTTGTGAAGGAAAAATCATCAGAGTTTGGTGCAAAGTGTGGTCCGTACATGAATTATGCGGCCGCAAAAGCTGGGTCAGCAGCAAAGTTCAAAGAAGATGCATTTCAAGTCCCCCAGAAGTGCGGACCGCATAAGAATTGTGCGGCCGCAGAAGAAGAGCTATGTGGCCGCAGTTATAATTGTGCGGACCGCAGAAAGAGTGCATTGCGGCCGCATACCAGAATTATGCGGCCGCAGACTTCCAATCCTGTGAAGCTGAAGAAAAGTGCGGATCTCACATGGAATTGTACAGCCGCAGAACCTTCCGAAGGGCATTTTTGTCCGAAATTTCTAGCCATGTATAAATAGACGAGTTTCACATTTTTAGGTTAACTTTTGACATCAGCTGCTATAGTAGTCGTTTCCTTTTACTCTTTTTAGTAGTTTTTCATATTTTGAGCTATTGAACATAGATTTTATCATTTTAATTAGCAATATGAGTTTAATTATCATTTCTTCTTCTTTTTCTTCCATTTCAAGCATGAGTAGCTAGATTTTTACTAAAGTGTGACCCAACCCTAGTGTGTAAACTTAATGGGTGTTTAATTTAATGCCTGTTTATGGTTGGGTTTTTATTATTTAGCCTTGTTCTTGATTTTATTTGTCGAATTAATGGTTGCAAATATTAGTTCATGCCTATTTGACTTGGTCTCTACTTGAGAAAGAGAGACTTAGTCTAGGAAACCTTGGCTAACAAGAAATTGGGTCAATCGAGAGATTGATAATCCCAATTAAAGGATTGAACCTAGAGATAGTAAAAATCCGAATTGAGCTTTTTATCAACCGTTTTGTTCAATACCCATTTGGATTTGAGAAAGCCAAATTTGGCAAAATCACTCTCTGACCTAGATGTATTGAGTGGATAATTGAGTGTTGATTGCTATAATACACCTCGACCAATAAAACAAGCTTTAAAGTTTATATCCCATTAGGCAAACACCTAGGTGAAGGTCATAGCCCTAGGCCTTTTTATAACATTTGAAAAACAACAAAAACAATTTCCTAGTTTTATTTCTTAAATTGCAATCATAGTTTAATTTAGACTTTAAAACAACCCAATTTTGTGGAAGTGCAAATTTAGATATACAAACTCACGCTCTACTATATATACTACTAATTCCCATACATATAGCTCCCTTCGAAATTCGACCCCGACTCTTGTTGGGTATTATTATTGCATCGACCATTTTCATAACCTCGAATTGAGGTGTAAACTTGGACAAGATCAATTTTTGGTGCAGTTGCCGGGGAGCTAAAAAAATGATGTTAGCTATATATTTAGGTGTATTTTTGGGATATCTTCATTTCCTTCCTTGTCACTAACGTGTTGAGAAATTGCAGGTGCAATCATGAAAAGCAATGAGCTCAGAAACTTACCTTTGGGGGATGTGAACGGTGAGAATGATCAAATGGATGAGGTCCCTCTTGAACCTCAAGCCAATAGATGAGGCCGACCGCCTCATGACAATCTGCCCGTTCCACCCCTACCTCCACTACGAGCGGTTCCACATCGGGTGTTTCCGAATGAAGGGTATGCAAGTGCTATAGTCCCTTCCCGTATTAGGATGGGCAACTTCCAAATAACCAACGTGATGCTCACTTTGCTCGAGAAACGAGGGTTCTTCACCGGTGCACCGGGTCAAAATGCATATAAACATTTGAAGGGGTTCGTAGATAAGTGTTGGGGGAGTAAATAAACTAATGTCTCCGAGGGTGCTTTGAGGCTAAGGCTTTTTCCCTTCTCTCTACGGGGGAAAGCTTTAGATTGGTTGGAACGTTTGCCAAATCATTCCATTCATACTTGGGATAAACTGGCGGAAAAATTTATTTCTAAGTACTTCTCTCCTGGGCATATGGCTATTCTTCGGGGTGAAATTCTAGCATTCAAGCAAGAGCCCAATGAACCACTATATGAGATATGGGAAAGGTATGGAACAATGGTGAAAGAGTGCCCTAACAACGATATGACGGAGAACATGATTCAACAAACTTTCTATCGGGGGATCAATACCACCAACCAATGTGTAGTGAATCAACTTGCCGATGGGAACTTCATGGCTATGCCTTATGCGGAGGCGTATGATATCTTGGATGAGATGGCGGATACTTCTTCGACGTGGCAATCTCGGGCTAATGTTCCACAAGGTGACCCCAATGTGATTCACCTTTACAAAGAGTTGCATGATCATGGACAAGCCATAGCCGAGTTGACTACCACCATGAACTAATTGACAAAGGCTCAACTTCAACAAGTGCAAAACCCGAGGAAATTCAATGCAATAGAGGGAGTAAATATGATGGTGGATAATTTCGTGCAAGATGATAGTGGATTTGATCAAGATTAATCTTACAATGACCAAGAAGAGGAGGTCCAATATGTGAACAACTT